ACTGCTCAGTTATTTCCAACCAAATTTCCTATATAATGCTGAAACAACAGATTTTAGTACAGTTTATCTAGTCTATGTGATGGAAACTGACAATCATATAACATGGCAGTATATGTCTGAGAATGCTAAAAATAAGTTTTGAGAAACACAGTATCTCACCATACATTGCAAGTACTATTTCCCTGATATAAATAATCAGTATTCTGATTTGCAGGCATTTGATTTTCTGAGTGCTATAATTGAAAGCCTAAAAACAGGTTAACAGAAATTAAAAAGATACTATATAATTCTTTTGAGTGATGTCTATTATCCCCAGTATCCTTAATAGCTACATTTCTAAACTGTACCTGGTGACATCTCCATTACAATTACAATTACGATGCCTCCAATGTGAAGTAATATCACTCAAATTACATTAAAACTATGGAATTTAGAATAACTGTTTATGTGTCCTCACAATTGCAGTTGATAGCTGAACACCTAAAATAGGTATGTAACTTCAGTACCTAAATTTGGAGGTAATCCAGTGTGGTAAACAAAGAGAAAGTTTCCTTCATAGCAGAATTTGAAACAGAAACCTAGATTGGGCACCTTGAACTGTGAACTCTGAATTGTGCAGGTGAGATAATTCATCTTTCATCTCCTGCTTTAGGTCGACCAAAGAACACAGTCTCCTAATATGGTCATGTAAACAACCTTTCTGAAGTTGGGTGGTGTGAATAGCTCAGTGTCACTTCTTCAGTTCTTGTCTATCAAAAACCTCTAAGTGCAGCTTTGGTTTCACATTCAACATTGCCAGTGCTGGACACCTCAAGGAGCTGTAACTTTACCACATGGTTGTAGTGTCTCATCACTACAGTGTTCAGAATGGAGTAAACGCTGCCCACTGAGAGGGTGAATTACCCTACCATGCTTAATTATTGTTTTACAAGAGAACTTAGGTTTTGCTTATATAGCTTTATCTGTTACTCCCCAGCATGTTTATCCACTCTGAAAACAAATTCCCAAACCTCCTGGAATGTGGCCCTCTCTGTCCAGGATCACAGCTTTTCATGAGAGTTACATGCTACAGCATAATTAAACCATTGGCCAACTGCTGTTACTATGGGGCAAAAGAATTTTTATAGGAACCAGTCCTGGGCTCTGCAAGGTACTTATCTTCAGAATGACTGTGAGATGTAACTGTCTCCACAACCAAATTCAGGCTTTTCTTTCAACTTCTTTCCATCTTCTCCCACAAACTGTATCACTCCTCCCATCAGTGCTATTTGAGAGTCTTACATCTCTATGCTTTCTGTAACACTGTCATAAGCAAAATTCCCTCTCCTTATAAATTCATTTGTCTAGAGATATTGCAAGTAGTTTTGAGTAGAGACCCTCTGGGCTACTAAGGATTGTGAGGATAATAGTAGCAGCTCACACATCATAAAATAACTGAAGTATTTATTATGATGTAACAAAAGGAAAAACATTTTTCAGCAGTGCTCTCAGAAGAAGTCACAGCTAGGTATCCAGCATGTTTACCAGAAACCGGTATTACGAGGAATTATGAATAAGTTAATAAGAAGTAATACAGCTGATGGATAGTCTACAATCAACAAGGAGATTAAGCGACTAAATCCATCTGTAGCTATATCAAAATCATCTTCTGTATTCAGTATAGTGAATTTCAAAATATGCTTTGTAAACAGAAAACTATAATCCACAAAATTCTTAATCTATTTCTTGAAGAGGTGGACCTGGTTTGGGGTTTTTTAAAGTATTTTCCATGGAGACAAAAGGCAACAGTTTTGTTAAAGCTTTATATTTTATGGTACTATGCATCCGTGGAAGCCAGCTTCTGAGATTTATGCTGCAGTACTTCCTATTATAGGATTTTAAGACTAATATATCAATTTCTTTGTTAATCAACAAACATTCAGGAATCAGACACAAGTATAATTACTCTATGTTTCATGTGGAAAGCCTGAGGTAAGAAGGAAAATGATCTAAATGTAAAACGTGAACTCTTACATCTGTTCTGAGCAAGCATTAAATCAAAACAAGAACCAAGTGATTAAGCATCAGCTTCATGAAACCCCTCGATAAAAAAGCTGGGAAAAATAGTTTCAGAAATAAATAAAAATAAGATGGCCAGTCAAGCCACTATCACACAATGCACTGAGTGGTACAGCATTATGTCACAAGTAAGAGGTTTTGCTCTAAGATACAAAATAGAATTTTCCTAATTAAAGGAAGCAAGTATCTGTTTATGAGACAATAATGAACTTTTTATGGGGTTTCTAAGCAGTTTGTTTTCAGCTTATTCTAATAGTAGTTAATTTCATGCCAGAGGGGCACATTTGGCAAAAGGCTTGTATTCTGGAGACCCATAAAAGGAAAAGCTCAAGTATGCTTGGTTTCCATATGAGCAAATTCATGCTAAAGTGCCAAATCAGTCTTATAAACATCCATTTCTTAACATCAGACTAAGGAACTCAAGCAGTAACATCGGATTCAGCATAAATCTTTCCTGAAAAATTCTTTGCATACATTTGAATTTCATTATAAAGTTCATACAGAGAAGACTGTTCCTTATGGAATTACCAGTATGCTTTTTTTGCTCTCAGGGAGGCAAAATTTAGCTTTTCAACTGTTATAAGGAAACAAAAGGCTTTTTTTTTTTTTTTTTTGCAGTTAAGCTTTACATTTTATTGCACCAGTAACTTCTGCAAATTAAAGGTAGATTAAGATTTTAACTTATAAATGTATGTTTTCATTGGGAATCTCTACCATTCAATTTTATAAAAGTTTCAAGATCCTGTTTATTTTCTTTAAAAAAGATACAGTGAAGTCTTCTAAAATATTTCTTTTGTGATTTACTAGCAAATTTTTCATTCAACCACTTCCTTTGAGACTATTTTTGGTCAGCCCTGATGGTGTCACTTAATTCCCACTCCACTGCATTGTGTTTTGGTTTGTTTCTGAGGAAAGATTCCTTTTTTTTTTCCACTGGAAAAAAAAATATTAAGAGTAGGCAGCCTTTTTTATAATGCAGAGTGTCACCAAGTCAAGAAGTTTTGTAAAGATTATTAAAAAAATGCCATATTAAGAGTAGGCAGCCTTTTTTATAATGCAGAGTGTCAACAAGTCAAAAAGTTTTGTAAAGATTATTAAAAAAATGCCAGTGATTGAAAGTTTGTCATCACTAGCCTGAGTTAGGAGAGCATTAGATAATTTCTCTGCAAGACAGAAGTGACTTTCATTGCTCATTCACATAAGAGGTGTCCTAGATGTCAGCCACAAAAACAGCAGTCCTGCAACCTCGCTATTATGAGTGGTTATCTCTCAAGCTGTGAACTTCAGCCAAGTAAGATATAGACAACTTGTTCATCATTCAGAAAATCCAGCAGGGCGTATTGCTACGCCAGTTAATTCTAGCTAGCAACACTGTGCATGTGATACATCAGACAAATACTGGATTCAGCTAGCATTTTCATAGAAAGCTTCAACTTGCTGGAACATAAAAGTATCACTTTGAAAATTACAGCATTTATTCAATGCTTTTCAAGTATGTTGGTGATGAATTACATCATATTTAATGGTTGTAATGTCAAGTGGTATGAAAAAGAACAGGGTACCAAGAAATAATGTTCATAAGAGAAAAACAACAAAAAAATACAGCCACTTATCAAGATAAAATGACATCAATGTTTGGAATTCTAATTAAGACCAAGTCAAGAATAGGGGGAAATGCTGGCTGCTTTGACAAGGCCATGGAATATCTGAATTCCGTTCCCAGCAGTGTAACTCACTTTCCAAGGACTTCCGTGCTGATGCCTGTCTTGGGAACTATCACATTTCTCTCCTTGCTACAAATCCTCATGGTAGCTCACACCAAAAGCTCCATTCAGAGCTCAGCTTAAGGATTCAAAGGGGATAAAATAGGTAGGGGTCATTTCAGATGAGTTATGATCACATTTGAGACAATATTTAAAAAGAGTGGGAACTTTTAAAAGTGTTATTCAAACATTGCTTCTGTCTGGTTATTCTACCTTTTTTTTTTTTTTTTCCTGTGGAAAAAGGTTATTAATGTTAAACAGCCAGTCTTATCTTCCAGTCTTCTTATTTTATGGTCAAAGAATAAATGTGTTTTAAATTTGTCTAAACAATTTTATCATTTCAGGCATAGTGCTTTTCTATGATAATTGGCGATGTATTGTATTCCATCAATATTTTCCTCAGGTATTTACACCATAACACTAAAAAGATGAGCAAGGCTGGCCAAGGAAATAACAAAAAAGGCACTCACAAATAAAACTTTTGCATTGTCCTATGGATCCTAGTCTGAAATGTGGTAGGTATTAGAAAGAGGAAGTATTTTTAACATCAGGCAATACAGGTCTCCTGAATACATTCTCTATTCATCTGGGCAATCTCATATTTTAATTTCTGTATTTTCACAGAGAGATTACTCCATAAGGGCATGTTTTATAGCAACAGTCAATCCACCTCCATAAAAGTCACAGTACTGTAAATCATTGATGCAAGATGCTGAAGACCTAAGTTCTAGTCACGTGCAATAAGAATATGTTTAGGACAAGCCTTCTCTTACAGAACTAAGCTGACCACAAACTGAATTTCAGTACAACAGTTCTGCACCCTCCTTGCTTTTCTGAGTACACCTGCAACACGATGCTAGACAGCATAGCACTATGGGACTACATTACCGTGTCCCCATAAATAGCAAGGCACTGGGTTGGAATCTGCCATAAAGAAAGAAACAATTTATTATGGCTTAGATTTTTCTTGTGATTAAAACACAGGACCTGCTAAAGAAGAAACACACTCACTGATAGAACTTAGCTATGATGCTGGTCAAACCCTCTTCCTCACATTCCCACCCCAAACCACATTCTTTCAGCAGAACCTTCACCTTCTATTTCAATTGCCATGTAATTTCCACTGTTAAAACTACGGCAGCATTGCCGTCATACAAAAGCATAAAAGAAGGAACATACGATGGACATAGATATTGCTTCTTTTTCCCCTTTCCTTTCTTTGAAGACTTCTCTTTGGAATAGACCTCTTCAACCCATAAGGAGAATGAGATGAAAAAGAAAACCGCTAGTAAGAACTTCATCTTGAAGAGGAACCTTTGGTCACAGGCAAAAGAAAAGAAAGAGGTTTATGTTAGTAAGGCTAGATATGGCAAATGGGAACACAAACCTTCAAAGAGTAAACAAATGTTTGTTTTTAAAGTTTGATCTTAACTGCCTTGAGAGACAGCATCTGTTGAGGTGTACCTCTGATACGGTACCGACTTTGACAATTTTCTGAAAGTCAAGAAGCTTCCCAGAGTTAAGGGACTGACAGTGAGGGACAGATTTAAGTGCAGGTTTGCTCCAGTGTGTTGAAGAAATAAAAGGCTGCCTAACTCAAAATCCTCAGAAAAGTGGAAACAGAATTCCTCACCAAAAAGGTAATGTATCAACTGCATTAAATACGGTTAAATGAGACCAACCGGTCATCTAGCAAGAACTGCAGGTCCTCTATGACCCTACACAGACCAGACAGCAATCATTGCTGGAGACGGGCAGCGACGGGAGGTGCGGATAAGTGGCGCGGGGAGGGGGTCGCGGGGTGGGGAGAGCATCATCCGGTCCCTGGAGGTGTCGAAAAATGTCTTAAGAGTTGACCGGAACAAGGGAATATTAGCGGAGAGGGGCTGAGTAGGATGAGAAGAAGACAGGATACAGTGCTGCATAAATTACACATATATATATGCAGATATTTAGTCAATAGTTACAGTTGCTTCATTTAAAAAGTCAAACTTCCCCTGTGAAAAAGCAAGAAGGATTGTTTTGGGGATAGACTCGTGGCCTTGTTACAAAGGGTGCTGGTTTTCACAACTTAAAAATAGAGACCTAATGGAATGGAAATCTCATACCTGAAATTCTTTCTGGAGGTCCGTGTATCTCATGCTTATAGAAATACAGGTACATGCTGAACTTCTTGCTTGTATCATCCGTTTGAACTCAGTTGTGGAAATGAACAGACATCATTATACAGCTGAGCAGTCCTAGGTTAGCAAATGCCCACCCTCCCATTATAGTTCAAAGGCCTCATCTCTCATACGTCTCACATTCTTTATAGGGACCCAGTCACTGAAAATCATGACAGTTTCCATATCTTTTTTTATCTTCCAGCCTTATTTCTTATCACTCCTAGCATCCACTGCCAGAGCATCAGTCTGCAGTATGATGATCCACCTGGTCTGTGGATCCCCCACTCCATGGCCAGGGGGTTGGAACTAGATGATCTTTAAGGTCCCTTCCAACCCAAACCACTCTGAGATTCTATGATTCATTCTACAAAAGAGCAGCATCACCTGAAGAATACTTTTTATTCTTCAGAATGGATCCAATGGTTAAGTCTAATATATCAATGGACACTTTTGCCAATGTCCTGTAATCCTCATCATGCTTCTGTGTGAAGCTCTATTGGGGTTTGGAATATAATATAATGGCAGATAAAAAGTAAAGAAAGTCATGTCTTTGGCAAATGAGAAATAAGTGAGCTCATGACCTGGTGCATAATCCATGGCAGGCAGCAAGTAGCATGTAGATTCCATAATACCCAAATGCTGAGTAGTCTCAGCTCCACCTTCTGAGCAATGTTTCTGTCCTAACTGAATTCTAGATGCAGTCTGAGGACAATTCCATGCCCTTCAGAATTTGCTGCCATATGGTATACATATACTGCCATATACATATATACATATGCATGTCTCTATAGATACATGCATACAGATACAAAAATCTACTGCTATGGGTCATTTTAAGACCACAGGTATCTCAAGACACACTTTTCCAGCTGAAACACAGGAACTTGCAAATTAAACAAACTGAAGTTTTTTTCCTGAAAAGAAAGCCCAGGGGCTTCTGAAATGCTGTGGTTTCAACCCCAAACCCCAAATTAAGGTTGACATATGGGTGATTCGCCCAGCCCTTCACAAAGAGGGGGTGAGTTCACCTTTAAGCTTCTCTCCAGGGTGGTGCCGGCCTGGCAGGGAGAGCCATGAGGTAAATGAGCCCCAGGTGTCCCACATTAAGTAAGCAAAGGTCAGGTGTCCCACTTAGGGATAAAAGCTGGAACCATTTGCAGGGAGTGGGGAGTGTTTGTCTGTGAGGTTAGATCTCCATTGGGATAGGTTTCTATTTCCCAGCTTTTTTAACTGCTCCTTTAAAAGCCCATTCATTTATTAAATTAATCCTGCAGCCTGTGGATAGTATGGAACATGGAGGATCCATTGAATGTTATGCTGCTCTGCATATTGCTGTACAAATTTATTTTGGAAATGGGACCCATTATCAGTTTGTATTTGTAAGGTGATGCCATAGTATAGGATCACTATATCTATGGTAGAGGTAGTACTATAGTGTGTGGCTTTTCTTCAGGGATAAGCAATCAAGTATCCTGAATATGTGTCAACTGCAGTGCAGATGTATTTGCACCCTCGGTCCTGGGGTAAAGGGCCAATATAGTCCATCTGTCAGATTTGTCCTGGCAATTTCCCCTCTTCCCAATTCTCCTTTTATGATGTTTGGTCCTGGGTGCTTATGAGTATGCTGGCACACAGGGCATTGGACAATTATTGTTTTGATCATATCCAGTGACATAACTATCCCATGCTCTTGGGCCTACTTGTAAGTGGCCTTTTCCCCAAGATGCCCACATTTCTGGTGTGCCCATTTTGCCAAGCCTTCATGGTCTCCTTCCTGAGGGAACTCCATTCCGGCTTGGGAAATCTTTGCCCGGTTATCAGTGACAGAATTGTAAAGACGCTCAAGTGAATTTAAATTACTGTGAGAATCTACATGGAATACTGTCACCTTGGTTCTTTGAAGCAATTCACAATATCTTTCCATATTGCCTTTCCCCAGACTGTTTTAGAATACATTTTCCAATCTTTGGCTACCCATCTTGGCAGCCAAGTAGCCAATCCATTTGCCACTGACCAAGAATTGGTGTATAGGTGACAGCTTCCCATGACACTCTCTCCATGAAGAAAAAAAGGTAAGCTTATTTTTTAAAAACCCTTCTAAACTTTATCTCAGGAACAGAAACCAACATTCTGTAGTTGTTCTAGAAAGACTGGCTTAAATGTGTTTGAGACCAGGTACCCACGGATTGCCATTTCCATTTTCCTACAATTTTGTTGTGGTACTGGGGGATGGGGCATGAAAAATAAGACAGCAATATGCTTAAGATGCAAGGACAGATGTGTCCCCTGTTCGTGTTGAGAAAGCCTTAACACAGTAGAGCAGAACACACATCTACAGCGCAGCATAGCAGCAGCAGAGGAACAAATATCTGTCAGCACCCTCAGCCTGAGCTGCTGCAGCCACAACAGGCCCTGCTTTCTGCATGCTGTTCCCTGCAGCTGCTGAGCCTGGCTGCTCATTACCTCCTCTTGTACACAAAGCACCTAATTGCCTCCTTCCAGCTGTCTGGAGATCCACTGCCATTTGAAAGTGCTTCCTGATGCAGCTATGGAGTTAAACACCTAAGGATAGATGAGTATTAGTGGTAACTCAATAGGACAATGCATAAAATAGAAATGAATACCACCCACCCCTCAGGTTCACATTAAATAAGAGCACACAGCTAATGTCTTTCTATAGCTAATAAAAGCATGACAAAGACAAGAAAAGGGAGCTTCTTCAGTAAGATATCTATGTAGTACCTTTACGTGTCTTATACCTCACAAATAATATCAAGTATTACAAGACATATTTCAATAACACTTGACTATTTCTTTAATGCACTTAAATGGAATGGGTGTCAGCTCTCAAGCAAGTTCTGACAGTCAAGGATCTGTGGCAAAAGGCCTCTTCTCCCACCTCTCACCATATAAAAGCTGGCTAAGGTCTCAAATAGCTGCTTTCTTACCTGGCAGCACCTTCTTGGCAGGCCAGCAGGGACACAGTAATCATGCAGCTCACACCAACCCTTGCTTGGCACTTGCCAGAAGAAGCTAGAGCTGTCATGGGTGCAGGACTTAGAAGGACAGCTTGAATGCCATTCAGGTCTCCTATTGCAGCGTCAGCTGACCTAGCAATGCTGAAATGGGAAGGACTGGAGAAAAAAGCCTCCTGTAAAAGCCTTGTACCAGCAAGTCAGTTGATCACGAGTAATGGGCCAGGTTCTGCTGATTGGTTTTAGCGGTGTTTTGAATTTCAGAGATCCTACTGAAGAGAAGTAAGACAACGAAGTAGAATTTTACTAATAAATGAAGTTTTGGAGTGCAGGGATGGACTTTGCTGTCTTTCCTCTGCTTACAACTCCTGCTGTGTCTACTTTTGGGAATATCTAACCATGGTTGATTCTCTGATTCAGAAATAATGCCCAGGAATTCCTGATCTCAGACATTATCCTGATCACTAGAAAATAGTTATTTATAGTTAAATACAGGTATATGTTACATATATTTAAATAGTAATATAGATAAATAATTATAAAATAGTTAAATATAACAAGACATCTCCTAGTGATCAGCCCAGGGACACTACATTAGTCTTTTCTTTAGTTTGCAGTAGTGAAACATGGAGACTGAAGATCCAGCAGTCCAGCTCTGCTGCTCAATCACACAAAAGATAATTTGTATCTGCGTAAGATAGAATTTCTTTGGTTTTATTGCTCTTTTTAGTCTACTTTCTTAAGGTAAGGAGTTTCATGTAATAACACTCTGTTCATGTTTCAAACAGCTTATTCCAAACCTTTGTTTTTTTCCCAACTGATTGATTCCACATTTAAAAAAAAAAAAAAAAAAAAAAAAAAAAAAAAAGGCAGAGAGCTCAGAGATATTAAGTCCTGAGTGTTTTGTAAAGACAGCTGGCTGGGAAGACAGATTGAGCTAATGTTCCTGCAGAAGGAAAAAAAAGTGAGAAAGAAAGCAGACTGGCATGAGTGATTAGACATTAGAAAACTCATCTGGGAGAAAGTTATAAATTCTTTAAACACAAACATTTAATCCATAAAGTATATGCTTTACTAGAGGAGGAATTATGACTGAAAAATAGAACTCCTCATGTCAAATAGCTGACAAAATTTTAATAAAGTCTTTACTAAGTTTTTTTCAGGAAAGCGAATATGTATTTTTAAATTTCTATTAACAGAAGAACCCACGCCTTAGCTTTCAGATTAATTCAGTTAAAAAGCCAGATAGCCAAAGACTTTCATCTATGGGGAATCAGATTTCATTAGTTTCAATGTTTGCCAAACTAATTTTCTTATAAATTGACTTAATTTAATTCACACAATTAGAAAACATAATTCCAAAAAGGATTTCATGTTCTGGAACCTCTGTAATTACAGATGGTTTGATTTCAATCACCTGTCACATTTTGATGGCTTTGGTGATCATCCAGAATGTATAGAGGTTTACAGGTCTAAGAG